GGGAACGGCAGCTCCGTCACAACCCGTGAGTTTTAGCCTTTCGTGCTCGTCTAGATACGGAAATTATTGGAATTATACACTAGTGCCCCCACAGATTGGCAGCTGTTGCAGCCCATGCTTTTTTTTCTTTTTTTTTTGTACCAAACGGCTTTTCAACTCTACCAATTATTCCTCCATCCTCATTATTCTTTTTTTTCGACTATAAGACATAGAAACCCGAACTTTCAACTTCAAGTCTCCAAACTTAATCAACATTGATTAAAGCAATCACAAGCACATCTCAACAATACAAATCGCCTCAAAACCAACTCACCACAAATAAGTCACAAAAATATCAACCATCATGCCTTTGTCCCCAAAATAAAAACACCTTAAGAACTTAACCAAATAAAATTAACTCATGCCATTTAAACCTAGCACAATAAATCCAAACCGACTCTCATGTCATCATCGCAAAATTCCACGTACATGCAATCTCATACTCACACACAAGCAAATATCATGCAATAGAATCTAAGACTCAAACTCTAAGGAGCAAAAATACAATGACATAATAAAACATGAATGCTCACCAATAAATACCTCCCCAAACTTAAAGTTTGCACATATCATCAACACTTAAATAAACTCAAATAAATACCTCCGCGTCGTAGTTTAAGGAGGCCTGAAGAGGGGCGTGGAAGACGGTAATGAGAGCTCCGCTGTGATCCCTAATCAGGCCTCCGCCTACGGCGGCTCCGGTAAGTCGGTCGAAAGATCCATCAGTGTTTAGCTTAACCTAATGGGAGTCGGGTCTTAGCCTATAAGTACCTCTTCTTATACTTCGAAAAATACTGATTTTTCAGAAAAGATTTCGAACTTTTTCGGAAACACTTTAACTTTAAAACTTTCTTTAGGGCACTTACTTAATTTTTTTTTTTCTTAACTTTACTGAAAACTACTTTTCTCTTTACTTTACTGAGCTTTCTCTTTTGAAACTTAAGTCGCTAACTTAAGTGTTTATGGGAATGCTATTCCCATATGCTAACTTTATTGTTTTCTAAATAGATAAAACAAACTCATTCATGCGTAATATAAACGTTTCGAAAACACTAGAAAGGTGTCTCAAACCAAGTTCCCAAAACAAGTTCATAAAACATTTGAAAAACCTTTAAGAGTTTGAGCGGAAGCATAAAAACTGATAAACATAAAATGACCGCCACTGTCCCCTCGTGTCCGACCCCAGCTGCGTAACCTGAAAAATGATAATTGTGGGGGGTGAGCAAAACACTAACTCACCATGGTAATCTATACTATGCATTTATCTAGAATGATAATAGATATCATAATATAAGCATGAAACATGAATAAACTGGCAGGTGTTGCTCGTACTGCGGGATTTACGATATGCTGATCGACCACGCCTCGAGTATAGATCATGTGTGCACACCCTAGTGGGAATTATGATATGCTGATCAACTGCACACCAGGTGATCATATTGAAATGCCCACCCTAAGGCAAAATACTCACATACATACCTCAAACACAATACATTTGCGATTATTAGGAATAAACCGTAGCATAGAAATCCCCACCTTAACTGCTGATGAATGAATGAAAAATGCTCGTGGACTTCGTGAAGGCTCGACTCCTCTTAATTTACAAATTAGACATTTAATTATTTATAAGAGTTTTCTTAGGAAATTATTGAAGTTACTGATTTTTATTAACAGTCAGATTAAACCACACAAACAAGAAAAGCAAAAAAAAAAACAAGTAACTCTTCTACAACTTTTTTAGGATCGTCTAAAGTTCTCGGATAAAGTTCTAAGGCTCAAAAATCTAAAATTTAAATTGGTCCGAACCGGCCGGCTCATGCACGGTTAGACCCATTCGGCTCGCTAGACCGCTCGAGTCGACCCACTGTTGGTCTGGCCCGCTGGGGCACTGCTGCGCTCGGCCAGACCTAGGTCGACTAGGTGTTGCGGGGTGCTGTGCACCGGGTGACATAGGTCGCCGGCGCTGCTTGTTAGCCTTGGCGCAGCTCGCTGGGCGACGCGGGCTTGGTGCTTGAAAGGGCTGGCACGTTGCAGGGATGTGCACGACGCTATGGACACAGGCGTACGAGTGCTGGGACGCGAGGCGCATGGGCGCTGAAGGAATGGCGCACGGGCATTTGGCACAGGACACACGGGCGTTGCGGAACATGGAACGCAGGTGCTGCAAAGTCGTTGATGCACGGACGCGTTGTCGTCTGCGCACACTGGTGCGGGGCAATGCGGATGGCGCTCGGGCGCAGAGTACGTGGTTTCTTATGGGCGTCTGTAGAGGAGTGCGGCACGCTGCGGGCGCAGGGGCACGTGAAAGTACTAGGTCGTAGTGTATGCGGTGCCTACAGGCTGTACCTGTCAGAGACCCGCTAAGATCTTTTTCTGGCAAAAGTCGTTGTTTGTCCCATTTTTGTTGTTATTTTTGTTGGTGTTTTGTGCGTCTTTTCCCCATTTTAGGTCTTTTTTTAGGTTTTTCCGATCCTTTGAGATGTTTCTCGTGTTTTATTGTTATTTTGGTGTGTTTAATGTTTTCTTTATTTTTCTTCCTATTTTTCTTGTTTTTCGTGTTTTTTCCGGTTGTGGTGGTTTCAGGTTTTAGACTGACTGGATGGTGAGCATTCAGATGAGAGAAGAAGTGTGTCGTCTGAGTTCATTTCGTGCGACCAAACATGCGGGAGTCGAGTTCCCAGCTCGTGTAGAACCCGAGAGATGCTAGCCGAAAGCACACGAGTCCAAAAATATCAAATATGGAGGCTGCCAGACCCTACCGGCGCTAAGGATGTTAGCGCCGCTAAGGGTATGAAGTCTAGCGGCGTTATGATGATTAGCGAGGAGCTAGCGACGCCAGAGCCTTCCCAGCTAAAGGGGGTTAGCGGCGCTAAGGGGTTAGCACCGCTAAGGTCTAATTTGTAACAATCGCGATTTTCCTGGAATTTTGAAATGGAGGCATAAGTGATCGAGTTAGGGCTGATGTTGGGGCATTCTTAGACTTGTAATTTCGACTTTTCTCTGGAGAAAACACCGTTCTCTCTTTTGTTTCACTTGGATTCAATTTTGGAGAGTAAAAACTCCAAGATTCATCATTTGAGATTTGGATTGCTTGTTGTTTTTCGACATTGGATTCGATATTAATCGTAAGCACTTCTTTTCATTTTGTGTATGAATACGATGGCTTGTTTAATTGTGAATTGTTGTGTTGAAATTGCTCCGGTTCGTTTTCGTTTTCGTGTATATTGATTGCTCAGCCTTTGCGAGTTGTGTTAATCCTAGGGTTAGATGATTGATCACCATCCTAATCTAGTAAATCGAATTTTAGAATCGAAAGGAGAAAAATCGATCGATCTAGGCTCGTTTAGAATAGGTTTGTTCGTAATGGTATTGGCTATGTGTTAATTGACTCGATAATTGTTCGTTTATGTTTATTCTCTTGTTACGAAGAGTTATTGAAGATAAATCTCTAGATGAGTTAGTTTTTCGAGTCTTTTAGCCGAGTAGTTGCTTGCCCGGTAAATGTATTTAGAATCGGAAACAATTGTCACGACCGGCCAAGACTTTTTTCCGCCAACCTCAGTCTACTAAGAAGCTTATAACCTAAGGATTCTAACCATGCTAAGGCTTGGGTAAAAATGCAACTTAAACCAAGGCTACCAGCACTCCTTTTTCTTACTCTCAAACACAACTTAAAAAGGCCAAATTAACTAATCTATTTCTCTAAAAATTTAAGCACATAAACCACATATAAAGAGCACTTAAAAAGCTCAGCAACTCAAGAAAACAAGGCTAAACCATGCAATCGCAAACTCACATAAAAATGCTTCCTTTTTTCTTAAAAATTCTATAAACTCTAAGCATGCTTATAAATAGATTCCCACTCATCCCAATTTCTTATCCCTCTAAGCAATTTCATTTCTTCTAATTGAATTGTCAACTTTCTAATCTTGTCCTTCCTTGAAGAGTTGAAATACTTGCTCCAGATGGATAAAGCTTTCCTAGTTTGCTTTATTTTTCTCCTTCAGTCTGAACATCACCACTGACTATTTCTTCTATCAGACCTTATTCTCCCACCTCTTTTCTCCTCCTTACTACTTATACCATTCCAATCTCCAATAATATCCCACATATCTCCCCGCTCCTTCTCATTTTCCAAAAAACTCCATTGTCTTTCCCTCTCAATCTTCTCTGTACTCAAATACACAAACACCAGCCACTCAGAACTAATAGAGGAATTTATTTGATATTGAACATGAATACTAAACTCACAACTTCTTATATGTAAGATACTAACCTCCAAATTCCAGCAAAGAAGGAGACCTCCTTTAGTTCTACAAGGCTCAACTACATAAATTCTGCCCTCAAACCCCAACTTCTTACACACTTGAACTCGAAACTTTTTTGTTTTATTACTTCAAAAAGGAATATGAAATTTGGGTGGTGAGCAATGATCGACTCTCGGGATTTAGCATAATAAACGTTTTGAGCACATTTCAGGGACATCGTCAACTTAGCACACCAGAACACAATGCCCGTAAATAATTAATGGCGCATCATGTAAACAATATTATTACCTAACCACACAGTCTATTGAACTAACAATTTGATCTCACTTTTTGGTAAATCAAAGCATTAAGTATCAAATACACATGCCTATTTATTATCTTACGGATTAAGAGTAGAAACAATAAATGAGGTCTAACTTATTTACTTGGTTAGTATAAAATAAACTTATCATATGTGGTCCGTTCAATACATTCCACATATACAAGAGTAATTTATTTGTCAATACAACTAATGCTAAAATCACACCAAAATCATTCATGATAGATTGATCAAATATATTTCGGTTGTGAACCGAAATTTATATTTTACAACACATAGATAATATGATCTTCTATTCAACACGATAAACCATATTACATATTATGGGAAATAATAGAGCGAATGTGCATTATTATTTAACACAAATAAAAACACAAATTGAACAATTATATCTAAATACGATTCTCATTCAAAAACTAAATATATGTTTTAAATAAAGCCAAACTTAGGGGAGATGGACTACAGATTAAAACCGATTTTGAGCGATCGTATAATTTTTTACATTATTTAACTCAAAATTCAACTCAAATTTAATCAAACTCAATTCTCTTCAATATTATCAATATATTTGAATAATTTCAATAAATCATCCATAAAACAATACATCAACTTTGATTCACAATTCATTAACTCGCATATTTTTAAGTACCAATCATTTTCAATAATCAATCTCTTATTTGTCTCATCAAATTAACTTTAATCATTAAATTTCAAATATTATTTAAATATTACCTCAACATCTCACTCAATTCTTCAATTAAACTCATCTATAATTAAACTACTTTTTAACTCAAAATTCAATCAAAATCGATTTTTGTTTATATCCTATATCTTCGTTAATATGCAAACCAACATAAGGCATAGACATGGCCAGGTGCCGGGTCCGGGCCCGGCGGGTCGGCGGGCCTCAATTGTTAGACCCGTAACCGGCCCGGCAATTCCTATGGGCCGGTTCAAATGAACCGGCCCGGCTCGGCGGTTCGTTGAACC